AGGGGGGATCAGAAGGCATTGGGGGAGTCACTGTTCCCCCGAGCACAGCCAGGAGTGACCAGGAACAATGGTCACAAGCTAGCAGAGGGTAGATTTAGGTTAGGCATCAGAAGGCGCTATTTCACGGTCAGGGCGGCTAGGGTCTGGAACCAACTTCCAAGGGAGGTGGTGCAGACTCCTACCCTGGGGGTTTTTAAGAAGAGGTTAGATGAACACCTTGCTGGGGTCGTTTGACCCCAGTACTCTTTCCTGCCATGGCAGGGGGTCGGACTAGATGATCTTCTCAGGTCTCTTCCGACCCTAGAAACTATGAAACTATGAACTAGCTGCTTCGCATATGCCTAATACACATACCACTTGAGATCTGGGGACACTATTTCCCACATGCAGAGGCATGCATTGCCATGGCAAAAATAGCACAAATTTGTGGCCCACACGCTCCTGTATGTAAGGTTGGTGTGGGGCAAATTGTCCTGGGTTGGGTAGGGTAGGCTGCATTATCTAGGATCCTGGAGGCCTTCCCGGGGCAGCAGTGGTGCTACTCTGGCAGGCCAGGTTTCCTTTCTGGGGGCGCATGCTTCTGTTGTGTGTACCATGCTGCTTTTTTAGCAGTTTTTTTTTTTGGATGCTGGGATCTGGTGTCAAAAAAACAAAAACAGAAAACCACATTGCAAATTAGCAGCATAGTGAATGGGTGCATGTGTATCATGTGTGGTTTATAGCACCTCAAACTGGTTTGCCATGCTGCAAACTGCACATGCATGCTCATCAGGATGCGCCCTGGGAAGCTTTCAACACTGTTCACCTGCTGTAGGCAGGAGGAAAAAGCACAGCGCTACATGAATTCAGAACCCAAAGGTGCGCTGCTGCAAGCTGTCCCCAGGGAACCAAATGTCCACACCATGTGTGCAAACGACCAGAGTGATAGTGGGATGAGTTTTTCTTCGCACAAGCCCTACCCTTTTCTCTGCACACTATCTACATCAGACCACTTAGAAAGGTAATATGATACAGGCCCCACTGTTAAAAATATGTGATGCATTTTGTATTGTCCATATCCTTTTCCAGATAGGGAGAATTCCTTCACAAAGATATCATATAGCTTAGCAAAGACAGACAAAGTATTGTTTAAAAGTTTTAAAAAAATGCTCCTTTTATCTCTGGCACAATAGAAAATTTCATTCTTCCTTCCTACAGGCACAGGGATCAATGCATTTATCTCCTGCCTGGATTACTAAGACTTGCTCTGCCTCCCATTCCTGTTATATATCTCCCCCCAACTTCCTCATTGAGGTAGACTGCTGTAATCTGACTTTTCCAATAAATCCTGATGCATTTGTACTGAATATTTAGGACTTTAATCCTGATCTTCCAAGCCATCAATGGAATCAGGATTCAGGCATGGTAACTACCTACATACCTGTGATCACGACCCACCCAGACAGCTCTTATATCTGGTATCCAGCTCACAAAAGCTTGAGCAAGCTTGGGGTAATGTTCTTACTCATGGGAATCTCAGCTGAGAAATGGGCTTCCAGAGGAAGACTGACCATTTTCTTACATAAAAAGGCTACAAAACAATGGAAGGAAGAAAAAAAATCTATAATATACATACCAAGCAAAACCTCCTTTACCAAAGAAACTAATTTCATTCAGTTAACTGGGCAACTCGTATATTTACAGAAATAGGTGAAAAAGAAAATATTTTAGATGTCTACATCACTGTCCTGCAACATCTCTCAACACTAGAGTGAAGAGCAATTTATTTTCTTAATGATTTCAGTTTGAAGCGAAGATTACACCACTAATGCCAGCAATTTATCAGTTCCCTTCAGACTCATACTTTTGGTGTAGGGAGTGAGGTGTTTAATATAGGATTGATGCATTTGGTTTCTCTATCTCAAAAAGAATAAGTCTGGAACAATCTGTACTGTACAAGAGGACAGAAACTACATAATGTAAAATGTGTAAAACCATTACAGAAAGCATCATAATTTAACATTTCTCCACGCACAACCATTATGAACATCTGTTGGAGTTGGTGTGTAAAAAGTGAGTTTACAAAGTCAGTATTTTTGGTATTGAAGTATATGCCACTGAAAATACCATACAAGACAAGGGAAAGGACTCATTCTATGTTTTCACATACTGAAACTGAAGGTTAAAGATTAGGGCCATAGTCCAGCAACCAGTTATGTAGATGCTTAATTTTATGCACTTGAGTATTCCACTGGTAGCCCACTAAACTTCTCTTGATATATAAATTAACAGGATCTATTGGAAGGCCCTCACCTCCCCTGTACCTCTTCCAAGTAGTTGCTTAGTAAACACTTACTCTATTTTGTTCATTTTACAGAAGAATTCCCTCAGTTTAATAGAAAGGAAGAGATGCATCTACATCTTACTGATTCAATAAGTTCTTTTTCAATATCTTCTCTTTCTCATATTAAAATGACAGAACCTTATTTCATCACCCTTCTTTCTATTATCCAGAGTTAATCACAGTATGTTAAGTATTTGTGGGTAGACCCTTTCACAGCATTGACAGTATGATACTGGATTATGCTACACTACAGTTAAATGATAAATTCCAGCTTACACTCCACCAGTTTTACACTGTTACGTCTCTACCTGGTATGTCCTTTGAGAATGGTATATTTAATGGTTGATCTTAGCATGAAACTGATTCTTTTTCCTAATAATTTCCAGAAAACTCAATTGAGTTATTTGAAGATAACATTCCAAAAGCAAATGGAAGGTTTACCTCTTCCATTCCTTTGGAACACTTACACTCAAAGGCCATATCCAGATGTGCAGGGGCATGTGATTGCAGCAGCACAAATTTGTGCTGCTTTGTGCCACAGCGCACACCCCTGCACGTGTGCTTTGGTGAGGGACAAATAGTCTTGCTTTGGGCAAAGCGCCCTTTTCCTGTTCTTCCTGGCTCCTGGAGTGCTGAAGCAGCTGGGGCACAAATGAAATAGCAGAGATGCTCTGGCCAGTAGCCAGAGCATCTCCCCAGAGGACCAAGCCTCCATTTGTTCCAGCACATGCTACTGTAGCATGTGCCATGCCGCTTTTCTTGGACTTTTTTTTGCTACCAGGAAATTCTGGCAGCAAACTCTGCCCCCATGCTACAAGTTTGCAGTGCGGGGACACACTTTAACCATCTGGGCATGCAGTGTGTGGTGCTGCAAAGAGGTTTGCGCACCTCAAGCTGCATGTGCCTGTATGGCTGGACGCAGCCAAACAGCTCAAAATGTGGTTGGAAGGTAAATGATTTCCTTCTGTGGTTTGACCTAAGATTCAAACTAAGTTGGCAGCAGATTGTCAGCAATTCTGAAGTTACGAGGGTTTGACTCTTAATTATACTAGGACCTTGTCCATAGGGAAATTCAGTGTGCAGTAAGCTAAACTCTGAATTTAACAGCACACTAACTACTTTCTCCTACCTCTTAATGTGAATACACTTTGTCCAAGTCATAAAGTAGAAACTGTAGTGGCAAGGTACTAATTGCTTCAGATAGAAACACTTGTATTGTGCATTAAGAGCATCCACCCAAGGAGTTAGTGTGGAGCTGCTAGCATGTTGTGTATTCACCCTAGCTTAGAGCCCACTAACTTCCCAAATCCTAAATCTGTTTTTCCCACACAAGTGTAGTTATGTGTCTAGACATACTTCCAGATTCGCATTCATGGAGTGGCTCTTAACAGTTAAAGATGGGAAAATGGTGCATAGACATAAGATTTTTGTGGACTTGTTTTCCTTCTTCCTCTTTTTTTAAATAAAAAATTGACTGAGGTTTAACCATAGGTGGTTTTATGATTTTAGAGGACTTTTGCAAGGAGCGAAGCCCTTAAAGTGCTGAAGCTTCATAAGCCACAAACCAATAGTATAGTAATCATGTTGCTCCAAGCTTGTGATGCAAACACAGTTTAATGTGACTTGGCATCCAACTATTGCTGGATATTTGTTCAATGTCTAGGACACCAGCTTACAAATAGCATTATATGAAAGTGAGAGCTCTGGTAAATTAAGATAAAGCAGAGGTACATGAGCTTGGCTGGCATAAGACAATCATTACTGACAAATTGATCACAACTTTTTACTTCAGGTCAGCATCTGACAAAGACCAGTTCCCTGAGAAACTATACATCAGCCTGGACTACAGTTTGTTCTCAGTTCTTACCATGGACGGATATAGTAAAGACCACCCTTGGCAGAAACCTTCTATGGCTTCTCTGCTAATAGGTTTGCCAACATTTTGAATTCAAAATCAGCAATACACTTATTTTATAACAAATCTTTTGTAGATGGGCTGCACAATGGACAGAGAGATAAGGTACTAGGGAATATAGATATTCTTTTGCTTTTTCCCATTTAAACACACTGCTGTTTCCCAACGTTAAAAAAGGAGCAATGCAAAATGGAATAACACATTTATATTAAATACACCAGCTGAAATTCTTCATATTATACCTGATTTGTGAACATACTGATAGTATAAAAGTTTGCTCAAACTCAGTAAATTTGCTATTTATATTGTCCTCCAGAAAGATTTAAGATATTGGGAACTTGGTTCGATTTGGAACAGTATCTAAATCAAAAAAAGTATGTTCTTGAAAAGCATCTTAATGAGTCAAGGATAATGCCTTAGTTTAAGATATTGCTTTAAAAAAAAAAGAGGCAAACTTGGCATCCGCTCAAAACACACCAAAGAAGAGAAAATAGGAGAAGTATCTACTATGATCCTATTCCATGAAAGTGTCATGCACTTTCTCTGGAGAAATGTCAAATTTGCTATCGTTAGGAAAAGTAATAAAAATACAGGCTCAGATTATCACCATGAAAACTGAGCAGGAGAGGCCTCTGGGCAAGACTCAGTGAGTGTCCCCTAAAAAGGAAGCTCACTACAATCAACCTTTTAGTGCATAAAAAAACAGTAGGGCCAGATTTCTATAGGGAACCATGCCAACTCTCACTTGTCTGACTCCATGGCATTTTTTTGCAAGGACTGTATTAATATAATCAAACTAGTTTATGTTCTTGCTTATATATTCAATACCTCTGTCACTAAAATCACATCCCTAGGTATGCAATAATAAAAGTTAAGAGCACAAATTGGCGCTGGTTGGAATATCAGATACCTGCACTTGTAGAACCAATCCCTGCAGTAAGCACCGATCGTGCCATAATCTTTACTGCATACTTCAAAAATTGAGATTTTCCTGTTCCAGGGTCTCCAACCAACAAAAGATGCGATTCACCTTGGAGGGAAAAAAACAAAAAAATGTACAAAATCTGACATTTCAGAGGAAATACATTGATTGCTACATTTAGAAAGACATGTATAGACATTATTAACTAAATTAATACTTTTAATCCTTGACATAAAATTTAGCTCTTCATATACAATATAATTAATAATTCAGTTGCAAGACTGCCATCTAGCATCACTCAGATATGTGATAAAATAGTATAATTCAGTAACTGCATTTAACCAAATTGCAATATTCAAATTCATTTCACATCATAACACAACTTTTTCCAAAATGATCAGATATCAACCCTTTTCAGAACACTTAGCACCTGGTTTTTGTATTTTAATATGCTTGTTTTGTAGACCTCCCACCCAATGAAGCAATCTGCTACTAGTGCTTAGTTATGATCCCATATTTAACTACTTATTTATTGCAGCAATAAACTAAACAATTCTTTACCTCCTAAGCAATACTTGCAAATGCTTATTTACAACTTCTACCATACTTGTAATTTAACAATATAAAGTAATTACAAAAGTAAATATTCTAGCTATTAACATATCCTTAAAGAGTTCTAAAATTATTTCTCTGTCTTATAATACATTAAAATCACTTAATTTTAAATAACTAAAGTTATAATTATAATTATTAGGCTTCTGAAAACTTTTAAAAAATCCCATGTTTTTATACAAACACCTATTATTTTAGAATTGTTTTGACCTACATAGATTATGACCTACATACCACCTGGCACATGGCACAATTGCCATCCAACAACAGAAGGAGAATCAGCAGGAAGATAACTTACAGTACAAGGTCCAAGAGAAATATACTGCCAATCACAGATGAAAAAATCTGGCTTTACGAAGTGACAAATCAACCCTTTAATTTTTCCTTTCAACACAGGGTAGAGATCCACACTATGGAATATTAATATCCCACTCTCTGATTTATAAAGTTAAAAAAAAGATGATACCTCACTTATCTAAAACAATGGATTGAAGTACTTTATTTAACGGAGCAGTGAAAACATACTCTTACTTCAGGTTATCTTAGAAAAATAAAGAGGTTATAAATAAAAAAGAAAAACAAACATTTCTCTTATTTCCCTGAGTTATACAAGATACGGATACTCAAGACTGATAAAATGTAGTTTTCACCCAGAAAAATGAAATGATTATGTTCCTGCAACTTTACCAAATCTAATACCAATTTTAAATTGTTCTTTTTTTTTCTTGCAAGGGACCAAGCACAAGGGAAGAAATGGACTTCACAGAATTAAAAACAAGAATACGAACCTCTCACTCGAGTTCCTACAGCATCAGTCCTTTGCACACCTCCAGCAAGTACCATAGCAACAGCGAGCTTCACCAGGTATAACCCAAACACCTGAGGACACAAGCTAGCCAAGATTTCATTCCTCCCTAGAAAAGGTGTGAAAAAACAGCACTCAGCACGATTTTGGAGTTAATGTGATGTAAACACACACACAATCGCCTCTCCTATTGATGTATCACTCCACCCAGAGGTATCATTACTCCCAGTGGGCAATTTTCCTAACCAGAGAAGTAGTGTGGGCAGGGGGGGTTTATTTGGATGGGAACCAAATTCAAGATTCCCTTCGTAACTCAGCCCCTTAGAATATCCCTTTGAATCCTGGCACTATGGGCGTTTGCAGACGTAAAAAGATCAAACACCACAAAAAAAATTGATGCTTCACTTTAAATTCAGTACATTCCTGCACCAAGCACCGTGCATGCCCAGAAGAGACAGTGTGTTACTTCAACCCAGCCTGCCTGACATTTGTAAAGATTGGGTGCTTTAGTCAAGCTTTTTTGGCACATTTATCTAAAAGCTGATTGAATACACCAAAAAGCCCTGCTGAAGCGCCCAAACTTTACAAGCACTGTAGAGCCGGGTTGAAGTAATGCACTGCTTTTTCTGGGAAAGCATGCTTCTTGGGTGTTTTTTTTTTTTTTTTTTTTTTTTTTTTGTTAACATTTGCAGGCAGCCATTGTGTTCAGTTAGGCACCATAAAGTCAAGTCCACAACTAGTGTAATCTGGTATTGCTCCACTGATTTAAAAGCAACTATGACATTTAATGCCCAAATGTAGTGTGGGGTAAAACTCAGTGAAGTCTCCTTCTGCATACTCTCTCAAGTACTGCAGTGCTCCATTCTGATCTGATGACTGCTGGCAGGGGAGAAAGGTGTGATGGAATCAGTACTGCTCTCTGAAGCATTGACATTTATCAGAAATTGGGGTTCCAGTCTTACAGATGCTTCTTCACTGGAAGTGCACAAAGCCAATGCAACCAGTCGAGAAGCAAAGGCAGTCCCTTAAATTTCTAAAATGGATTATTTAAACTTGGGTATCAAGTGTGTCAGAAAACTGGGCTAGTCATAGGTACCTGAAGTGGGACTGAGATACAATTTGGGCATGCAGATCCAACACAGCAATCCTGGAAAACCCCAGCCACCACCTAAACCCTGGAGTTGCTTTATCTCCCCAGACTCCTGAAGTTGCATGTGTTTGCATAGGCAGAACTGTCCCAGTCTTGACAGGACTGAGCAACTCAGTGCCTGCGTCAACTTAATCCCAACTAGGAATCAGAATGTAAGTCTTTTTGCTACCAAAGTTTCCTCACAGGCTCAATTCAAGAGGCAGTATTAGAGTATGTATGAGTAATGCACACAGGATCAGGCTCCTCACAAAATTTAGTGGTGGCCATTGCTTTCTTTAAGAGCCAGCAATAATAACGGGGCTACCACTTCTGTCCAATAGGTCTAATGGTTGGAGCTCTCCCCGTAGGCCAGTGGTTCCCAACCTTTTTGGAGAGGGGAGGGGGGTTCCCCCATGTGCCCATGCCGTGCTCGGCAGCGAACCCTGAAGCGCTGCGCATGGAAACGCTGACAGCGAACCTGGAAGTGTTCATCTTGAACACTTTGTGACCCTAGGTTGGGAACCGCTGCCTTAGGCAGTAGCAGACCAAGGTTCAATTTCCTCCTGTCTGAAGAGAGAGGAACCCACATATACAATATATCTGGAGAGTGCCCTAACCACCAGCTACAAGCTACTTTACATGGAAACACAGTCCATTCTGCTGAAGTTGTACCACTGTTCAGAACAGAAGTCAAGATTCATGTGACAAGAAGGAGCCTGACTCTGATGCCTAGTGGTCAGAGCACTTACCTTCGAGGGAATCCTGGGTTTCAGTCCTTGCTGTCAAGATTATGGCTGTATTTTAAATAGTCATTGGTAAAATACAGCAAGAGTCCTTGGACTATACAAGATCTGGCCCCCACAATTCCTTCTGCATGGTGTAGTTTTTTCTTGATTATAAAACTCCATTGTTCCTCTCCATATCATACACATATAATTTGATGCTCATACTGAGTCCTTGTAAAAGGATGTTACATAAAACACTCTGACAAGTACACTGGCACAAAGCTCAGAAGAAGAAAAATCATGGTAGTACATTTTTGGTGTGGATTTCAAGGACGTAATACTTTTTTCAACTAATAATAGTAACCAAAAAAAGCAAATTAAGTAAGAATTTATATCTCATGTTTGAAAATTATGTATAGCAAGAAATTATTTCTCAAACTGCCATGACAAGGCTGACAGACATAACAGTTAATTTAAAGTAAAATTAAGTTCCTTGGAGTTCTGTCCTATTGGCCTGAGATAAACTCTGATAGATTAATATAGGATTTGCTATCTTATGATACCCCTGAAATGAATGGGAACCAAATGTGCTCTCCTCCTCTGAAAACCTGCCCAGCATTCTCCAAGGAGGTCTGTTGGATGGGGGAGCAAAGCAAATATACTGTCAATAACATAATGTTGCCTCCGCCAGTATCTGCACACAATGTTGAAAATGTTAATCTACAAACCTGCTAAGGGATTACTCTTATGTTTTTCCCAGAAGTCTTCAAATTCCTTGCGGACCTCCTCATCAATTATAACTCCTGCTAGTTGTTCGTTATTTACTTTAATGTAATTGGCTTTCAAAACAATCTCAAGGTCACAGCGCACATCCTGATGGAAGGGTTTCCATCTTTGCATTACCACTCCATACACTGTGATGTCATCACCTGGGTGTAGGGACAAAAATAGTCACAATAACATCCCAGTTAGTGGATGCAGACATCTCAGCTAACATCTAAATTAAACGTATAATGAGGTAGTTTAGAGTAGACCACATAATGAGGTAGTTTATCAACAGTAGAACAGCTGTTGATAAAATGGAAAAATGGAATTACTCAAACTACTGTAGGTCTAAAACAGACATTTTTATGAGGCTTTTTAATGTCTACAAATAAGATATAGAACAACTATTTTGTATTTTTAAATACTGAAAATCTAAAGCAAACAAAAGGAACAGGTTAATCCTTCTTAGGAGTTGTAAAAGTACTGTTGGGTTAAAAACACATTTTTCTTCCCCATCTCACAAACAGCATTGACAGACATGACACTTGTTTCCTTTTTCCAGTTTTCTTATTTTATGTGAATGAAGTGAGAAGAGTCATGGCAAGTTTTATCTGGATCAGTATCATTTTCAGATTATCATGCACTAGTAGGACACTTCAGTATATTATTATTAATAGAACCTATTCAATTGTGTTAAAAGAAACTTCAGCTGAACTTACTAAAACAAAAATGGACACAACTTTGCTTTGACAGAGCTCTATGGGTAGTTCTAGTAAATATTTCCAGTTCTGTGGGTTTTTTTCTTTTGTTTTCATTATCCATATTAAATTATGAGTATAGTTAGTCAGAAAACTCCACTTTGGTTAAAAGAAAAAAGAAACTCTTCGCTCTTTTGTTTTGGCATAGAGAGGTGAAATTCTATGTACTGTAACTGTTTGCCTTCTGATAGTGCAATAATTCTGTACTTCTGTCATTCCTCTCCTCCATTTTTTTCTTTAAGTTTACCAAAATCAAATGTGCCCACTGATGCCTGGAACATTCCCTCATATCTTTTAAATAAATTGGATGTGGTATTAAAAAATTAAGGCATTAGAAACAAACAGAAAAATACCACCAAACTAAATATGAGACCTAATTTTTTTCTCAGCTAGTTAGGGGATCTACTATCTTGGCTCAGACTAACAGTCTATCTAGTTCTGTTTCCCTTCTACAAGAGTGGCCAGTACCGATCAAAAACCCTGGCCAAAGTGTTGCTTTGAGTTAGGATGATTAATGCTGAATGCAGTATTTCTGGTATAAGTTTACAGAACCAAATTGTAATGTTCTGAATATTATTTCCCATTCTTTATGCAGCTTAATGTTTCTTACTTTTTCTGACTGTCCCTACAGGCTAAGCAGGCATTTTGTTTGTTGTCCTTCTTACATGGTAAGCCACGGTACATGGCTTTCCAAACCAAAGAGGTGCACCACACCCTGGGTCAATCTGGCCATGTGTCCCAAGGCATCTAGTTCTGTACAAATCTAATTGAACATTAACAGGTCTCAAAATTTTTCTGAAGGCTGTGAAACATTGCACGGCAAAGGCAAGCTGCCAAAATATCATGACGTCATATACGGGAATGATATTTTCTGTAATAGTATTAAGTTGTCAGATTAAGACACAGAGTTAACACAACAATGCTGTGGCATACAAGCTTATCCCATCAGACAAGTCCTCAAAACTAATGTCTGTATTGGAGATGCGTTCTTTCAAATTAATTATAAGGTTCAAAACATTCTAGGTTTAATCAAAAAAATATATAACTTCAAAACGGAATATTTCAGTCCTCACCAGACTTGCAACTATCAACTAAATCATCTTCCAAGACAACCACCATAGAGCGAGGAATGCTTCCAACAGATAGTCTTTGAACCTAGGAAACAAAAACAAAAAATTATGTATTTTTCACAGGTATACCATCTAACAACCATATACTGTTGCTTTAGGTTGCAAAGGAACCTTTGGCTTGTGCACCAGTGACCCATCTTCTTTTCCCCACGGAGGTGGTCATCACAGAATTTACATAATGAACCTGCTACTTTTTCAAGGACTTCAATGGAAATTTGCTATCAACAACAACAAAAACAGAATAGGGTCTTAGATTATCCACTGGCACCTGTCTCCTGAGGTGCCAAATGGCTTCAACGTCTTGTTGGAAGGAGCTCTACCAGAGCAAGGTCATTTTCAAAAACTGAACTTATCGACTGAGAATTTCTTCAGGCGTATTTTCAATAAAAAAAAGTACAGGCATTTATTCAACAATAAATACAGGCATGAACACCTCCCTAAAAAGTAAATGTCCACCCATTCTTAAATTATATATGGAAAGAGGACCTAATGATATATGTATTTGAGCCAAGCTTCAGATTTGCAGAAAGTTTACATGTGGGTCTGCTTCCCCAAAAAAATACCAGCAGGGGAAAACAAATCAAACACAAGGAGAAGAATACATATTGACAAGGACGTCAGTAATTGTTGTACTTATCTTTTCCTCCAGGGAACAGCCTATGCAATCTTGTCATAATCTATTTCTGTCTAAATCATTTTTTTCCAGCTACACACAAAATCCTACCATAACGTTAAAATGTACACTATAGACAGAACAACAATCAGTAGTACCTTTTCTTTTATAGCAAAGGCTTATCCATATTGGGATTATAGATTAATTTATTCTCTGGTGCCTGGAAACTATTTCTATATTTTTGTCTCACATAGGAGTGCTACAGGCAGTGGATACTGGTGGCAAATCCATGGTTTCTGGCAGATATCTCCTATACACAGGGTCAATTCACCCCTGGTTTAATTCCACTGACTTTTTCGTACTATCAAAGAATTTGTCTCCACAATGCAGATATTTTGGGGATGCAGTAAAAAAGACGGGAATTAAAGTCCTAATAAAAATTACCTTAAACGAGAACAAAATGAATAAGCAACTTGGGAATCATGCAATCAGAAATACTTTTACTCCCTCACTCACTGGTTATTCTTAAATTTAAAACATTTTTTTATTTCATTCCGCATAGTGCTGTTTTTGCATATGTGATGTTCCCACACATATTACTCTGAACCCTCTTATTTTGGAAAACCTAAAACAGGTCAATTAAAGAAAAAGAATTATGAATAAAGTTACCGTACTGAACCAAGAAATACAAAATAAGAAAGACATTAACTACAACGCATCTTATTTGTTTTCATATTCCGTAGAGCTTAGACTTTTTCAGCTCTTTGGACTGGGTTGCTTGGCGCTGAAAAAATATCTCCCCATTGTACTTAACTTTCTCAGCTAAACAAAAGTCTTGGACATTCACTTAGGGCTAACTGTTAAACATAGGAATACATATTGCCTCAGACAACAAAACATCTAGTAACCATTTGAGAATGTGAGTACAGATTGACAGGCACAGATATCTGTAGATATGCTAAGATGCAGCAGTGCTACCTACAGCTGGCATTTACCAACAGAGAGCTAAACTGATTCTAGGCGAGCCATCTCAAACATCATTATCTCACACATACAATCTATGCACAGTTGGCTCAAACAGACAATTTGCATGTAGTGTTATACATTTTGAAAGCCCCATGCTTTGGATGTGGATATTGTGATGCATAAAAATAACTTAATTTACCTAGTACAGGAATTTTAGTAGCTATAAGCTTCATTTTTCAGTTCTTTATCTTAAAAGAGTCTGACCAACAAGACAACGCTGCCCTCCCACTGCACCAATTGTTTCAAATAACTGTAAATAGTTTACAACTTTTCTAGTTATGATGGCATCTTAACAAACTTATTAATGATCAAGGGACAAATTCATTGTTGACATAAGCAGGTGCAGTTCCACAGAAGTTAATGGGTTTGCACTAGCTCATGACACTAGCAGATAAGTCCACACCACTCTTCCTATAATTATTTTTTCATTGCATTCTTTTTTTTGTTTTAACAACAGCCACCCTCCATATTTTACCTGTTCTTGAATTTTGATTTCTTGATAGTCTCTGCAACTGGTGGGAGCAGCGTTTGTTCCTGAGAGACAAGTGAATTTGGATGAGTTGCAGCCTTCTTCATTTGGGCAGGCTGATGGACGACAGAAAGCATAGTACTGCTCAAAATCAGCCTTTACAACAAATATATGTTTGCATTTATTACATATATAATTCCGCTCGAACTCCAGGACCTTCACTAAACTAGTACGAATAACAGTACCAGTAACAGACAAGAAGTGATCCACATCTCTGGTTTTAGGGATATGTTCTCTGGTTAGCTCTGGACAAACAGGCAAACCTGTCAATAAAGATATATAAAGTATTAAGAGCATGAAACTAAATTTACAAATATGTAAGGTGTATATACGTTAGCTGCTCAGGGAAAAAGATATTTTCTCAATTGGAAAAGGAGCGAGAAGGAATAAATAAAAGATAGATACATTAAGAGTCACAGTCACTTCGTTAATCTGACACTATACTAGTCACAAATATCAAAACACATTAAAAGATTAACACAGAACACAAATATAATAGCATTATTACCCTATTTTTACAAGCTCTAAATAATAATTCATAATGAATAATTTGAAATATTTTTATTTTTTCTGTTCATGAAATACCTGCAAACAGATCCTGGTACCCTCAAATATACTCATTAAATTGAATTATATAATGACCTTCTAGTGAATTTGATTTACTCTTCAGCATCCTATTTGTAATATGAAATTTGAATTGTGCTGTTTGGCTGTGATCAGGCCCATAAATCACGTTTCTCTGATTAAAGAAGCATAATTCATAATCTGGTGTGAACCCTCAGACAAAATTAACTTAAAATTCACATTCCGTGAACATTTGCTCTTACATCTCGCTTTCCATGAAGATCCATATCAGTAAGAATTACTTTCAGAAGAGCTGCTGGAAAGTTAACCTAAAGAGATTACGAATGCAACCAAAACAAGTTTACTTACTAGTTCAAATATACATGACAGAATATTTTTGCAGTACTTGCCCCTTCTAATTCCACCCTAAGTCAGTTCCATTTACTTGTACTACACCCTCCTTTTAGCTGTGCATAAGGCACTTTGCACCATATATCCCAAAACTTTCAAAGCAAATCTGTTCAACATTTTTTATTTGAAACAACATCTTTCATTTAAAATCTGAGCAAAATTTAGGGAAGGGAAGGGTGTTAAAAAGGACTGCAACTAGAGTTTAATTAAAATGTTTTGGGTTGACCCAAAATAATTTATTTCAGCATTTTTGTTTCACTAAGACAACCCAATCTTACCCTTCCTCCCTCAAATTTCTTTTCACCACATTAAAATTCCATTCTTTTATAGCTCTACTTTGGCAGAATTTTTTTCCAGCAATAGGTGTGATTTTGATGACATTTATAAAGCATAGCATATCTGACACCAGAGAGAGAGCTACAGCATTTCAACTGGCTGATGCACATTTATATGGCATGATTGTGAGTGACTATGAGAAGTGCAGAGAGATTGAATTTGGAAGCATGTCAGTCAGTTGTGGTCTGTCTAAGCTCAGCAGGCCCATTGGGATACTTTGGTTGAGGCACACCAGCTTCCGTAGCCAACAGCATTACAAGGGAGCAATGTGGCTAGCATTCTTGTCCAGCTGCTTCAGACTCTCCTGCCCAATGAACATATTTAGAGTAACAGATAGCCTCCACTCTGAACATTTTACACTGTTTGCCAAACTCTTCATCTGATTCATACAGGAGTTTTAGTAATGTAATGAGTTTTAATAATAATGTAAATAGTTCAACTTTACATGACTGCTTAGCCATTGAGAGTACACTGGTGTCCAAGCTAGTGGTAATTAAGCAAAAACTCCATTATCTGTTAACAGATATCCAGTGAAATAAAATTTACATGCAAACCTCTATAATACTAAAGTTCAAGTGGACAAGTGCATCTTGTAATTTCCCCAGAAGCAAGAGGAACTTGTACAGCTAAGCATCTTCTCTCTCAATCCAATGCACCAGAATACCAGGGCATATGCCAAGGCTTCTCTCACCCCCTCTGAGTAGAAAGGGCCTTCACCCAATTTTGAATTCCTGCAGACCCTTTCCTAGTCAAGATTTATGTCCTTGATGCACTGAGACCACATTCTCAAACACAGCACTAACCACACTACTTTTCCTCACTGCCGTCAGAAACCTTACATGACAGATCCCTCAGATCTTGCTTAGGGCTTCTTCCTAGTGACTCCACAGAAGGAGATGGGCCATATCCTTTCCCTTCCCACCCTCTTTGGAAAAACAATGAACAATCTTCACAAATGGAATTAGAGAGTTTCCAAAGCCCTATGCCCATTAAATGGACAGTAGTATTCTTAGGAAGTTAGGCTGAAAGAACCTTTGGTCCTTCAAACTACTTTTTCTTTCTGCAGCAGTAATCAACTTTTCTGTAAGTGTGGTCTATCCCAGGGCTGCTCAACTCTCAGCCCATGAGGCAGATCTGGCTCACAGAACCATACTATATGGCCTATGCTGTTCCCCTCATGGCTAAAAATTTGGCAGCCAGAGAATGGCTGCAGCTAACTACCGTTCCCCTGCTATCAAATTTCCAAACATGGAAGGAGCCCCATGGGCCAGAAAGCATGGCCTTGATTGAGCTAAGTGGGGCAGCAAGGAGGCACGCAGGAGCAAAGCAGTGTGGGGCTGAGTGGGGTGGCACAGATGCACGCGGGGCTGAGCCAGGTGGTGTGGAGTTAAGTGAGGCAAGGCCAAGCACAGTGGCATGGGACATGATCCTAGCACATGGGGCTCAATCTGGCCCATGGATCAGCTGTGTGCCATTTATCCATCCCAGGGGCCAAAAGATTGAGCACCACTTGTCTACCCAGAAGTTATTATGCCCTCAGACCTTCAACCGTATCTTTTGTATCTTAGTGTGTAGCCTAAGAGCATGTCAAAGAACAAAAATGTTCATTATAAATCTAAAAGCTAAGCCAGATCATTAATAAAAAGATGTAGAAAAAACATTAATTCATCCCTACTGTTACAAACACAGGGAGAAGCATCACAATAGCTGATCTTCAAGGGGTAGCAAGCAGGAGGCTATGCATCTTTTTTTACCTCTCATAATTGTTGGTTGTATAAAAGCTGCATAAATCATAAAATAAGTAGAAAACTTTTATTTTTTGCTAACGGAGCTCATATAATAGAATTACAGGAATTGCAGTTCAGATTCTATTCTTTGATGTACATACTGTAATGACAATAACTGTGAAATCAAGCTCATTTGAGGGAAACACCAGATATACAATACAACTCAGATTCTTCTATCTCAGCACTACTAAAAGATTAAGTAGATATTGATAAATCAAAGGGAGGGATGTAGTGGTTCACTATGGTGCAGTGATAAACAAACCCTGATGAACATCACTAAGGTCTGACAGATTCTTCAGAAAATTTTGGTAACAAGACGAGAATAATACTCAAAACCCACTTATTATAGGTTGATGGATTTCAGTACAGTATGTCACCATATCACAAAAGTCATAACAGCTCCTGGGAAACGAATGTAAATGGAAACTGAACCACTTAGCTCAGTTTTCCGAGTGTCCTTCATATACAATAGCCTAGCATTTTAGTAACTTTTGGAAAAGCTGCTTTCACACCTGGCCACAACCTTGGTAACAGATTTGCTGTCATGTTACATTGTGACAAAAGGGATGAAACTTGCTTTTATTGTTGATCACTTCTCTCAACAATGTACCATATTTTCTCATATTCTACATGCCCCCCAAATAAGACACGCCCCCTGTTTGTGGAAGGCAGAATGGAGAAACAAAGATTTTTCTGGAGTCATAGCTGAGCATATGGAAGAATAAATCCTCCTGGAAAAACAAAGTGTCCAGGAAGTGTGGCATTCCAGGAGACAGCCTGGGTGAGGCAGCAGAAACTTCTTGGTATGGCAGGACAGCAGCAAGGCCCCAGACTCTTGCAGGGGCAGAAGCAAGACTGTTACTTCTTTATATAAGTTCCTATAATCAGGTGTGTCAAACGTATGGCTGGATCCAGCCTACAGAATCACTCCATCCACCCTGCTGGTAGTCCAGCAGGCTACCAGAAGTTGGGGGGTGTTGCCTGGCACAGAATAGGGGTCCCTGGACCCCAAAGAACATGGTCATAGGTGGCAGCCCCCCAGACCTGTGCTGCCACCCAAACACAGTTCTGTGCTGCTATGCAAATGCAGTCCCACACTGCTGCATGCCTCCAGATGAGTATTGCTGCCTGAACATGGCCCCGCACTGCCCTAGACCCACTGTAGTTGCTGCTGGTCCCACAGATCTGGCCCTGGAGGAACCCCTGCAGTTCAGATCCAGTTTGGGACCCCAGGTGAGTTTGGCACTCCTGCTGTAAATAATAAAGTATAGATTCTACACCATATATTAAAGATTGCCTGCAGCAGCTCACTTGCCCTGAGCTGGCTCAATTGCTGCTTCAGGGACAAGTGACAGTGTTTCACCAATAGATAATGCAAGTTCTTTAGTGGCTGTGAGGAAGTTAACACTGGACTCTCTCCCTCTATCTGCTCGATCATGAAGAAATGGCAGCTATCTGAGCACAGTGTTTGTATGCTTTTATTTCCGCAAAAACAAATCAGCTTCCCTACTTAAGAAACGTACTCCAGTTTTGGAGGGCTGACTCCAGGGCTAGGGACAGACATTACACATAAACTGGTTTAAGTTATCAGAAACTGATTTAAACTTGTAACAGAACAGAAGTACAGTGCACATAAACCAGTTTCAAAATGGCTGAAACCAGTTTGAGATAAACCTGGTTGAATGTAGTATCAGACTTAACTGATTTGGGTCAAACTGGTTCATGCAATGTCTGTACCAGACCCCCCGCTAGTTTAAGTTAAACCAGTCCCTCAGCATGCTCTCTGGGTTAGACTCTCTTTGCCATTAAGGCAAAGTGGGCAGGGAGGGGGTTAATTCTTCCCCTTGCCCTCACTGCAGTGGTCCCTGGGGGACAAAAGGGATAGAGGGAGGGATTAACCTCATCCCTGCCCCCTTCACCTTAATGGGGTAATGCCGGGACGGCGTCTGGCTGTGTCCTGCTGCTAGAGCAGGAAGGGGATAGGAGAGGGCAACAGCTGCTGCCAGAGTGCTTAGGAGGGGGTTTATTCCCCTTGCCCCTTCCCTGTCTCACGGGCAGGGACTGTAGCTGTCCCAGCATGGCCCCATTAAGGCTAAGGGAAGGCAGCCCCACACAGAGCCTCCCCCCTTCCTTCCTGCCGCATGTCAGTGGGGAGCAGGGGAGGAAAAAGAGGAGGGGAAAAAGTACCCCTCCAGCTCTAAACAGAGCCCCGCTCCCAGGGCAGGGAGGGGAGAGAAGCAGGGGGATGAGTACCCCTCTGCAGCCAGGCAGCCCTGTACAGAGCCCCAGTCCCAGCCCTGAGGCAGCAGGGAATGGAGGGGACGAGGGGAAAGAGTCCCCCCTAGCACCAAACAGGCCCTCTGTCCCCATGGGGGAGGGGGAAGAGTCCCCCTCTGGGGCCAGACAGTCCTGCACAGAGTCCCCCTTCCCACCCAGATCAGAAGGCATTGGGGGAGTCACTGTTCCCCCGAGCACAGCCAGGAGTGACCAGGAACAACGGTCACAAGCTAGCAGAGGGTAGATTTAGGTTAGACATCAGAAGGCACTATTTCACGGTCAGGGCGGCTAGGGTCTGGAACCAACTTCCAAGGGAGGTGGTGCAGGCTCCTACCCTGGGGGTTTTTAAGAAGAGGTTAGATGAACACCTTGCTGGGGTCATTTGACCCCAGTACTCTTTCCTGCCATGGCAGGGGGGTCGGACTAGATGATCTTCTCAGGTACCTTCCGACCCTAGAAACTATGAAACTATGAACCCTGTGCCAGCGGGGGGGGAGGGGAGGGGGGAGGCATGGAGAAGAAGGAAGAGCGGGAAGAGTCCCCCTCCAGCACTGCATAGAGCCCCCCTCCCTACCCCATGGCCATGGGGGGAGATGGAGGAGGGGGAAGAATCCTGCTTTGGAGCCACAGAGTGCTCTGTGCCTGGATTGCTCCTGGCAGTAAGGGAGCTGCTGGAGTGGGCAGAGCTCTCCCCTTCCCCTTCTCGTTCCCCTCTCTTCCCTCCAGCCACAGGGGTCTGGCCATGCTCCCTCTTCCCCCACTCTCCAAACCCTGCAGGCCAAGGTTTGGGTTTAAACCCTTCCTCAGTCTTACTCAGGCCTACCAGGGCCTGGCCATGTGCCCCCTTCTGCCCAGCTTCCCTATGAAAGGGAAGGGAGGGTTGCTCTAGCACCCCTGGGCTTTTGGCCTGAGCCACTGCAGACACGTACCTGCATTTCTAAAATGAAAACAGAATGTCTATCCACTTGCAAACTGGTTCAATCTTTGCAGGTTAGACTAACCTACAAAGATGGAATCACTTCAGGCTTGGGCTTTTTAAATGTCTGTCCCTAGCCTAGAGGAAAATGTGTGGGTCTGACACGTTGAGTAAATACAGCTTTCTGCCTTAAGAGCCAGCAGTTTAGGGTAAGGCTTCATCTGCACCACAAATATCAATTTATGTCAGAGGAAAAATTACAATACAGTTATCCTCCATAATGGAGAAAATGTAAGTCTGTTTTGTAGTGTATATTAGCTCCAACCTTATCCCCAAATTGTACAAAAACACCTGTAGCAGCCAAGCTACTAAAGGAATAAAGAGGGACCAAAAAAAAGGTATAAAACGCACACCATCTACAGAATACCCTACTATTTTTATGGAGTGCTCTCCCTATCAGCTGCAGACTCACAGGGTTTCCTGTCCCCTAAACCTGACAGGTAAAATGGCACAACAAATAGGCCTGTCCCCTGAACCTGCAATGAGCTCCAAGCATCAGGGCCTTATATTGTAGTAGACGGTAACAATAACTGCTTTTCTATACTGGTCTTCAGAATTTCAAATGCTACTTGGGCTATTTAACTTCTCTAACCCTACCAACCTTTGTATCTTGTCAAAGTTTTTTGTTCTCTCAGTGAAGCTTTATAGAATAAATAATGACTTGCTGAAAGTGTTTTTCTCTCTCTGTTAACATATGCTGTAGTTTCTGCTTTCTTAAATACATACCATCAGTTCTTTCTTGACATTAAATATGGACATTGTAAAAATAAAATCAACTAGCACACAGTAAGTTTTCCCACCAGACAGTCCAATATTTACTACTAGACAGCATATAGTAGAATTTTTTTTGAGTAAAAGATAGATCTACCACATATCGTGGAATTACACATATAAATGACTCACCTGATATCCTGACATGAAGATTCTGCTTGATGCTAAGACCATGATTCTGGGAAGTGGGCTGCAGAGCCTCCAGAGCTGCTCTGCGTAATGCATTGTCAAAAATAGGGAGCACTTCATTCGGAAATGCATTGAAATACTCTCCAATTTCCATATTGGTCTCAAAAAGAGTCAGGGCATCAACAACAATCGGATAATGTTTCTCATCATCTTGCTCTCTTAAGATATGCAAAATGTCATTTTTGTGATGTTCCAAAACGTAGGATTCAAACACTTGTCCAATTAGGTTTACTTGGTCAGTGTTCAATAACATATTGAACCTATGGGCAGAAAAAAAAATTAATATCCCCCAAAACAAGTCTAACTTTTTTTTAATACACTTGCTGAGGCTGCAAGCCCAGAATGTAATCTATTTTAATTTACAATAAATAGATTGCATGTCAAAACAAAAGTAAGACTATGCAAGATTGTGTCTCATTTACTAGATTGCAATATAGATGCTCTGTAAAGTGCTTTGAAATTTGTGAATGAGAAATACTGAACAGCAAGTATGTATCAACTTTAGCTAAGGGGCATAGTCTAAGCTCCTTATGCTCTTATTTAACTTTAAACATTTCTGCATCTATCTCAAGTTTCAATGGGTGACTACTCTTGACTCCAAGGCAGCCACTCCCATAGCATGGGTTGAAACCTCAAATGGTGTCATGAGCCTCACAGAACTTCAGTTATAGCAGTCAGGCTTTTCCTAGGAGCAGGGTCACAAGAGGACTCACAGTGGGACTGCCCACTCTAGAGAAGATTGGGAACCACTACTCTAGAGGCCCCTTTTCTAACTGAAATTATACACCAGCTTCAAGAGGCCTAGTCCTGTTGTACTTAGTCCCATGTTTGTGGGACTGGGGCCTTAAAATTTAAACTTCTCAAGGTGGAGATTGTATCTTACCTACAGATACAGACTTTCCCTGTAGCTGTGGATAAATGGTTAACACCTTGTGGGGAACAGTGAGTTATAAATACTCCCAAGCTATAACCATAAAATAAACCAGTTAAAGCAGCAGTTTGCAGTGTTTATGCTCTGATGTTTTCCTTTGAGGCAGAGGTCAGGGTAGAGTGGCACCTTAAATATCTAAATCAGAGATGCATGAGCTTTCGTAAGCAGGGTGGCTTCTTTCACCAGGTGCTGTGAAGAGACTGCAGGCCTTTTTGCTGCTTTCAAGGGATCGTGGGCCAGTGCCCACCAAGAAAAACTATAAGCCTCCCTTGAAAAGAGAGACCATTGAGAAAGCAAGAACTGATTTCTTGGGACGAATAAAAAGAAAACAGGGAAGGGAGTGAGGTCACAGGTTAACAAAAGGGATCTGGATGAGGGCATTGAGTAGAGCACACTGGCCAGAGCCCAATGCTCCCTGAATGAGTCAAGGGAGCCTGTGGATGCTGACCAGTGAAAATATGCCCAGAGACATGAGAGACTGCAGGCCTATTTGATGTGCCGAAAGATCATGGGCTTAGGCACATCATAGAATGGAGACACATCAACTAATTTTGGGGGTCAAATAAAAAGAAAACAGGAAAGGGAGGGAGGTCATAAGAACTGCCATTTTGCCCAGTCTCCTGCATCATATAGGGTCAGGGTGGAGACTGAAAGGGAGAATGAACTGCATAGACCAGCATTTTTTTCCCCTACTGTTCCTCCCACTTGCAGCCTCCAGAAGTTAAGGTCCAGGAAGTTCCGATTCAGAGACTGTATCCCCGAGTCCCATGCTCCATGGGGCATCCCTTTCCTCCAAGAATCAGCCCAACCCTTTTGAATCTGGCTAAACTGGCAGCTTCTACAGCATCCAGCAGCAGCAAGCTCCATGCCTGAATGATGTGCTGCATGAAAAAGAACGTCCTCATGTTAGTTTCAAACATGCTTACTCCGATGAGAACCCAGCACAGGTCACAGCTTCGTAACAAGGGATCCAGATGGCGATGCAGAGCACAGCCAGAGCCTGCTGCCCCCTGAATGAGACAGGGGACAATGCCTACTGAACTTGCCCGAAGACGTGACAGAAGGCAGGAGGCAGAGCTGCCGAATAGAAAGTTGTGATTACAATACGCAGGGTAGAGATAGGGGAAGGAGACAGGATGGGAGCACTGCTGGGAAAGGCCAGGTGGGGAGGAGAGAGGAAAAAGGAGCTTCACCAACTTGGGGTCATAAAAGCTTTTTTTTTCTTTTTTTTTTAAAGAAATTTTTTTGTGTCCCTGGTCAAATTAGCCAGATAAGTTCCAAATCCTTTGAATCCTTCACGAACCATATGTGCCCCTTCTACCCTGACTCCAGACCCTTCAGCCTGGAGCTTCAGATACTTCCAAATATTTTGGCAAGCATCCTATGTGCAGGTCGAAGCCCGGGGCTTAGGGTTAGGATGCCCCCAGGTTTTGCTTCCCCTCAGCCATATGGCTGCAGAAGCAAGCTAGGAAGGAATCTCCCGTTTCCATAAAGCTGGTGTGTAGCCGAGATTCTCCTGCTGGAAGCTGGCCACTGGGAAGTTAACTATGAGGCTCCTGTAGGGAGTCCTGTCCCCAAGCAGACAAGAGTGCACCCTCCACTACACAGTGCCATTTTAATTGCATTACCTTGTCAGAGTATTTCCCCTGCCAGGGAAGTATATGGAGGTCATAAAAACTAAGCCAGGGAAAGGGGTGGGAATGGCAGGTGATGCTTCTGACGGACCTGATCGTTAGTGCATCTCCGATTGCTTCTGGCACAACAGCACTTCATGGTGACCCTGCCACCCAGCAGGTCAGTCAGGCCGACCCCACCTGGGGTCGAGCTCGGCACCAGTGTCGCCAGGTACATGATAGTGATCATATTTGTACCATCATTTCAACCTCTGTGCAATGTACGATCAATAACAGTAAAAGCGTTCAAAACATACAATAATTTTTGAGGCAGCCAACTGATGTTGCACATGCAAAAAAAAAAAACAACCAACCCAGGTCACTCACAGGGAGTCTGAACTGACTTTTGGGGGGAGGGAGGGTTGTTTTGTTTAAATACATTTTTCATGTTCCTAGCCAAATCAGTCAAATCAAGTCCAAATCCATGAGTCAGTCCAGAGCCATAAGTGACCCCACAAGTGGCAAACATCCTCCACCCCCTCCAGGGGCTTCAGGTATTTCCCAAGTCTTTTGGCAGGCATCCTACGTGCAGGACCCAGCCCAGAGGCTTGGGGTTTGGATGCCCCCACGTTTCGCCTGCCCTCAGCCACATGGCCCAGGAGCAAGCTAGGGAGGAGCCTCCCATTTCCATACTGTGGGCTTGAAGCCCCAACACCTCGGCATACTAAACCGCGCCAGATGAACAGTTATCCCTGGGAACGCTTACGGAAAACTGCCTTC